TTTTGCTATAATAAATAAAGCATGTATGTATCTATTGGGAAAATAAATTTAACAAACTTGTACGGTTTTTCTGGACGCGATCATTACTTGTAAACAACTGATGTCGCCGCTTGAGGAATCGTGCAGCTAAAATCAGCTGATTGTACGTGCTGACGTTTACTTAATAATAGCTCTTAAAAATTCCTATTCATTTTGTAATAATAAATATATATTATGCATATGTAATAATATGTAGATTAATAGATTTTTTGGTTTCCATTTTTCAACATCCTTGCCAATGATGCACGTTACAAATGTGCCACGCCCACTTCACATTGGCGCGCCCTCTTTAATTTTCAAACCGTGGAGAACCCTGGGGTTTGCTTCACAGCCAGCAGAATAGATGACATGGTCTAGGGGTTAGCAGGTTCAAATCTTTCAAATTTTCTCTTGAAATAATTGTTGATGGTTTTACATTCATGTCATATTTATATTTACATATCTAATTCCATGAAATTTACCGGTAATGTAAAAGTAATTTAAATTATTCTTGACAGATACACAGTTGATGAGTACTATTAATGGAATTAATAATGTGTGTGAAAAAGATTATTGGTCACAATGTGAAAATTTGACCACCCTGCAATGCTGTTTACAGCTGTATTTACTACACTGTATTTGTTAAATAATACTAACCTTCTCTTATTCTTCATTCGGTGTTGTGTTTGGTTAAAGCCTGTTATTGTTTGTCGTGCCTGGCCATGCACCATTCCTTGAGTCTGAAAAGATTGATTCAAACCTCTTCTCTGTGTGAGCTGTTGTTGTCTGGCAGCTTTTCTCTGTTGTATTAAGTTTGTTCTAACAAGCGTTTTCCTTTTGTTGACAGCTCCAATCTGTCTATTATGTACTGGACCTTTAAGTTTTTGTATTTGTTGTCTTCTAGAGTTCTACAGAGAACAAAATGCTGAAGTTTCAAATATTGAAATGATTCCATATCATATAACCAAGTGACACAACAGACTGTTAAGAAGACTAAAATGACACAACAGGTAACACAAGTGTCACTATGTATGGTATGAGACTGTTAAGAAAGCCCTGACTAAAATGGCACAACAGGTAACACAAGTGCCACTATGTATGATATGAGACTGTTAAGAAAGCCCAGACTAAAATGGCACAACAGGCAACACAAGTGTCACTATATATGGTATGAGACTGTTAAGAAAGCCCAGACTAAAATGGCACAACAGGCAACACATATGTCACTATGTATGGTATGAGACTGTTAAGAAAGTCCTGACTTAAA